GATAACACTTGCACTTGTAGTCGATTTCAGTTGGAGAGTTTTTTATGTGAGCATGCAGTCACGGTGGCTATATATAGAGGCTTTGCAGTGAGAATCTTATGCTCTCCTTATTATACGGCTGATTATTGGAGAACAGTTTACGATGAGACTATATTTCCTCTATCGAATGAAGCCGAGTTAGAAGTTTCCGACCATATTCTTCCACTTAATAGTTTATTGCCATATGAAGTTGAACCACGTGGTCCTAGATGTCCACGTACATCTAGAATACTATCTACCAGAGAGTTTTCTCGACCGCGAAGGTGGAGTAAGTGCATAGCAACATGGCATACTTTCCAATTTTGTATAAGTCAAATTCCCCTAAATAATAGTTAAACCGATGTGTAATGATTTCACTAATTATTGAACAATATTTACAATTTTTTTTACAATATTTACAATATTTCAGAAATAAATAAACAATTAAATTTTTGATATTTACAATTTGTTTACAATATTTAAATTTATTTCACAAAAAAATAAACATTTAAATTTTCGATATTTACAATTTGTTTACAATTTACAATTATTTCACAAATAAATAACCAACATTCACGGATCTCAATTGAATTTATATAAATTGCACACTAACTTGTTGCTCCAATTTTGTATTCAGGATTGGTTGATTTCATCAACCTTATGTGTTATACTCAAAAATTTGATATACTTTATTGCGATACCGCAATTGCCCCTACAAATAAATAATAATTTGTTGTTAAGTCGGTATTGTGTAGCGAAAAATTAGGTGTTAAAATCAAAAAAATTATTAGTACTCACGATTTCGACGTCTTGTCGTCGTCGTGTATCACATGATGGCTCGTCTGTCCTGCACAATCACCCCACTCGTCTGGCCATCAAATGAACGATCACAGCCACCGGTTCTAGGTGAAGATCAAGCTAACCTTGTGCTAGACAGAAATGATCTGAGTCGTACACATATATAGTTAAATTTGCAAAGACGATCTCCACGGCAAAACAATGATGATTCGCGATCACTAGAATGTACATATGCTTGCAACCCTCCAATGACTTTCCCCCGACACTCGGCTACATCCCTATGACCCACTTGAGTATATATTCGGGCATTGTGTACCTGTTACCTATAAGTTGGAGCGACTGATACTCAATGATAACGACACGTAGAACTCGGTACGTGGCTGGAATTTTGAATGATCTCAGATATCGTCGAGCTTGATCGCGCAATAAGTCTATAGACATGTCGATATGCTACATCGAGAAATGTCAATAAAAAATAGAGGGAGTTACTTCATTTAATAAACAAAAAATTGTGCATACATAATAAATAACAATTGCGATATTACACTTACATTGTTGACGAGCCAGAACTCGAAGTCGTGACGTCGTGAAACCATTTATAGGCGTCGATGGTTGTCCTTTCACCTATCATGTAGCTAGCTCTGAAAAAAGAAATAGAAAAACTGTGAAAAGAAGTATAGATGAGTTAGCGTATCATATTTCACTAAAATCATAAAATATTTACCCGGTCATTATTCTTCGCCATTCTGTCTCGAATGCCTTCCACTTGGCATGGTCTACCTCCTGGAAGAGATTGGTGTACGTTTCATCTAGAACGTCCTCCTCTTTGCCTCAGCCGTGAAGGGAGAAATGACATATTGTGACGATAATCTCAACCTTTTGTCGATCACCTCATCCGGCAAGTTAGCAACACGCTTCTTACCTTATGTCACAACTGGCGTCCTCTCCTCCTCCGCCACTCCCTCGCCTTAGGACTCGCCATCTCTTTTGTTAAGGGCACATCATCTGCCTCGAAAATTGCCACCCCCTCCCCTTGGGGATAGCCATCTCCTCTGTCATCAAAGCCATCCCCTCTGTCCCAGGTACCGTCACTTCCTCCGTCATCGGGGCCACCCTCCCACCCTGGGTACCCCTACTCCCTCCATTTTTTCCTCCTCCGCCACCTCTCATGTCCCCATCGAGGTTACCCTTTTTCGCTCCACAGATAAAAAATGATTCGAATGCATCGTCATTTGTCCACAATAGTGAGTGACCCCAATTTCCATCACCTTCTCTATCACCCCTTCGTATGCCTGCTATATCGTCTCGGAGCGCTATAACCCCATCGTTAAGTTTTGCTATATGGCCTTGTAGCACTCCAACATCATGGCATAAACTTGATACCTCGTCGCTCGTTCCTCGTCCAGTGCCCCTGTTTCTTCTCGTAGCATGCCCACTTCTCTATCTCTCATCGTAATGGCCCTACCTCATCTCGTAGCACACCCATATCCTTCGCCATAAATACAGTTAGGTGGACATACAGATCATGAAAATAATGACTCTGACTATGTGCAGGAGATCCATGGAAGATGTGTCTGGATGGACGAAAAGGAGATTTCATTGTCGGAGGTGATCCCATTGACGGAGGTGATCGTCGATCAACTAGACCGCGCTCCTACACAAATAACAACATTAAAAATTACCAACTTTGTTAAAATAGGCCAACTCATACAAGACGGTAATCAATAAATTATATTCAATTCACATACTCAATCTCGGTCTGAGATGGAATCGGACATCTGGTCATGTTGAGTATGCGGAACGGCTAATTCTCGCACAAAACCTTGACAATTATCCTCCGTTGATTACGTCAACTCAATTAGGACTTCAAACAGACATATGACAGTTCAACTAATTAATGATCATATGATGAAATTTTGAAACGAATTACAATATAAATTGCAAATGTGTAACATTCACTTGAGGGCCGTCGAGGAGAGCTGACAACTGTTTGCCAGGTGGACATCCGTATGCTGGGATGCTGGCCAATGATGCATCCGATGGCAGCGTGTCTCCCATCGCCTAGCAAACAGGGTACCTAAGAGAGTGACAGTCTCATATGCCCAGATCTGCAACACATACAATTATTATATATAAATTAAGTATAAAAAATATTTTAATGTTGATTATGTTAAACATTTACCTGTAGATCCAAGGGCAATCCATAAGTATCGTACTTACGTTTAGACCTATTGGGCTTCGCGTGTGATCTGGTGAAGACGTGAATGACGTCCTCAAAATTCTCTGATCCCACAGATAGTTGTTGAAGACATCGATTCGTCAACAACTTCCAAATGGAAAATGTCGATCGCAGTCTTCTTGTGATGACACCTCACCACGCTCTTAAGGATGTAGACCAGTCCTAACTTCAATCTGTCCAACATCTGATCGCACTCCCTGATTACGCCGATCATCTACGAAAGGAGCACCGTTCCTTATCCCTAAAAATACGTCTCGTGTAGCATATTGCTTCTTTGAGTACCGTTAGTAATTGCCTCGTCGCCCGGTATCCTCTGTCTAGTCACGAGGGAAAGCTCAAACATGGAGAAAGTAACGACCTTACCCTCGAGGTCAAATTAAAGGGCATTGCCGTCGACTGTCTTAAGTAGCCGACATAGTAATGTATCAATAATTTGCCCAGAGTATTGTACCTCTATCCACTGGTGCAGGGGCCACATGAATGACTAGCGTATGATATCTGCGTGCTCATTATTCAATAACTCCAATACAGTAGTAAAACTGTCAAACCTACTGTTCCACGTATATTTTCCTGCCATCTGTCTCAACTCCACGATTAGATGGTACTTCATCCTGCAAAAATTAAAATATTAGAACTTTCAACAATAGAAAATAGAATAAGTATAATTCAAAAAAATTAAGCGAACCGAATTACAAACAAAAATAAATAAAATAAAATAAAAAAAAATAAAATATAGAAAGTTAAGAATTAAAAAGAAAAAAAATTAGGAAATTTCAATTTTTTTTAAAATTATAATAAAAAACAAATTGAATGGAAGGAAATTATGGAAATTAAACAAAGAATATAACATTATTTAATTAAAACTGAAAAATTAAATTAACAAAGAATATAAATATTATATAACTAAAATTAAAAAAATTAAATTTTATCATAAAAAGAAAATATTTTTAAATTAAAAAGAAACTCGAAAAAAGCCATTTGGGCCGATGTTTAAACGGTCAATTGTAATAAAAAAAATAAATAATTAAGAAATTTTAAAACTGTTTAAAAAAAATTATAATAAAAAAATTCTAAAAATTATATTAACTAAAATACAAATATTATATAATTAAAATTATAAAATTAAATTTTATCATAAAAATAAAACAATTGAAAAAATTTTAAAGTGAAAAAAAATGAAAAAATAATTTTAAATCAAAAAAATAATCAATTAAGAAAATTTGAAAACTATTTCCAAAAAAAAAAAAAAAATTATAATAAAAAAAAAATTAAACAAATTTTTTTTATGAAAATTAAATGAAGAATAAAAATATTATTTAATAAAAATTGAAAAAATTAAATTAACAAGGAATATATAAATTATATAATTAAAATTAAAAAATATATTTTTTATCATAAAAAAAAGGAATTTTAAAAGAATGCTTGCAGTAGGCCGAAAGGGGCACATAGTCACCCCTCGGGTCAATAGTGATCGTTAACTGGCAGCTTCTGAAATGTACTACCTCCAATAGTATGCCTAAATAACGAAAAATAAATATTATATACAACAATTTAAAACACAAAAAATGAAAAATCTAATATCATAATTATAAACAAAACTAATATTTTTGAAGATAATGGTCGGTGGTGGTCGGCGTGAGTTTGACTATAAGATGCGTCCTCGACTGGATTGTGATGGGCATTGATTTTCGTTCCTTTCAAACAGTTTGTGTGAAGATAACGGTATTTTTGGGTTTTGAGTTGTAAATATTTTTTTTAGTAGTCAAAAGCTAATATGAAAATATGACCGGAAAAACATGCCAATTTCTTGTATTTCCTCCAGGTTCTTCCACACTTGAGAAATCATAGGGAAGTAGTGTCTTACTCTGCAGAAACCCTTTCACCCACCCCACGACCCATATTGTTATATTTACATAAACACATATGTAGATAGAAAGACACGAAAATGATGTGGGAAGCAGGAGAATCAACCGAAGGAGGGGGAGGGGGTGTGAATGAAAATGGTGGAAGTGGGAGGAGGAAGCCATCGTGGAGAGAGAGAGAGAACAACAAGAGGAGAGAGAGAAGAAGAAGGGCCATAGCAGCCAAGATATATACAGGTTTAAGGGCACAAGGGGATTACAATTTGCCTAAACACTGTGACAACAACGAGGTCCTCAAAGCTCTCTGTGCTGAAGCTGGTTGGATTGTTGAGCCTGATGGCACCACCTATCGCAAGGTATTTTTTCCTTTTTCGTTTAGTATTTTTTCTGTAATAATTCATCTCTGTTATCCGATAAGGATCTTCTGTTATGGGTTTGGGTTTTCTTGCTTTTTATAATGGGTTTTGCTTGGATCTGCTTAGATCTAGAAAATATTAGGGTTTTCTTTATTCGAATCAAGATTACTGTTATTTTAACCTATATTTAATTGGTTAATTTTTGTTTTTCTGGCTTTTGATCTATGGAGAAAATGGGTGTAAATTGTAATTGAAAGGTTTTCATTATGGGATTTTTCTTCTTTTCCCCAATGTTTAACTTCTAGTGCTGGTTGTGGTAAAAGCATCTGAAAAGGCTCTATTTATAGCTTCATCTAAACTGGTTGTGAAAAAATTGGCAAAAGATTTATTGCATTTTTGTTATTTGTTAAATTCTTATCCTGTCTTACGGCAGTGATGTCGACTTATTGTATAGTGCAGTGTTTCTGAATGTGTTTTTGTGTACAAAATGTTGAGAGAAAAAAGAATACTTGGAAGCTGATCTTTTCAGCATTGAAGTATTAATTCATTTGTGCGCAAATATTTTCGTTTGCTCGAGTGCCTTCTCCTTTTAATTCATCTACTTTTTGCTATATCCACGTGATTTTTCCCCTTTTTGTATAGAGATTCTGGAGTTAAACTATTTGTTAAGAGATTGTGGATAAACAATTTCATCTCTTTCCTGTCAGAATGCACTGCTCAATCAAGCGAAAATTGCAGCATTTCTTTCTATATTTCAATGTTAAATTCAAAGTATTTATAATTGACAGAGTTTCCCTGATAAGATATTAATGTTTTTGTGATTGTCTGATATTTTTTATATAATAGCGTGAATCATGATATGTTATTAGTATACAATCTCTCCTTTTACAGCTATTTGTCTCAATTGTAGCTTATAGTTTATGACATTCTGCTTTTAATAATGAATGTATCATCCAGGGATGCAAACCACCAAGCTGGGAAATTGGAAGCATTTCAACCAATATGACACCTAGTTCTTCTGTAAATCTTAGTCTACCATCATCATATTTCTCAAGTCCAATTCCTTCTTACCAACCGAGTCCATCATCCTCGTCCTTCCCCAGCCCGACTCGACAAAGTGCCAACCCATCATCACATCCATTTGCATTCCTCCTTAACTCTATCCCTTCATCTCTCCCTCCTCTCCGAATATCAAACAGTGCCCCTGTAACTCCACCGCTCTCGTCTCCAACTAGACGCCCTAAGCAAACTTTCAATTTGGAAACTCTCGCGAAAGAATCCATGTCCGCTTTGAATATCCCCTTTTTCGCTGCTGCTTCGGCCCCAGCAAGTCCAAATCGTAGTAGGCGCTTTACTCCAACGACCACTATACCTGAATGCAATGAGTCAGACTCATCTACTATTGATTCTGGCCAGTGGATGAACTTCCAAGCATATCTTAATGCACCCACCATGGTTCCAACCTCTCCAACCTTTAATCTTGTGAAACCCGTGGCTCAGCAACTTACTTCCAAGGACACCGTGTTGGATAAGGGGAAGAGTACAGAATTTGGTTTTGAGAATGTAGCAGTGAAGGCATGGGAAGGGGAGAGGATTCATGAGGTAGGATTGGATGATCTCGATCTCACACTAGGAAGTGGGAACACTCGGATTTGAGAACAATTGCGCAGTGGGTGGAAATGTTGATGAATTTGAGTTTTCTGAGGGCTTCCTGTACCGAAAGTACTCGCATTAATCTCATTGAAGTACATGTCAAGTGAAGAACTATGAATTTAACCAATTTAGGATGGATTGGTTTCAAATTGTTGTTGTATGTTTCGGTGTTCCCATTACTGTTGGGCCCTTGTAAATGCTTGGAGGATTTCATGTAGATAGTAGTTTCTTCTCTCTCATTTTCATTCAGTATTATTACTTGCATTGTAGACTGGTGAGAATTTATTCACCTAAAAACTGTTTTGATGCTCAGTCTTAATTATAATAAATTTCAGTGTTTGGCATACCGCAGTTTTTGTCCTTTTTCTGATTTCCCTTTTTATTGTTTTAAGCAGTGATTTTATGTTACGACGGCTTGGTTTTCCATCGTTAGACATTGGACCAAAGCAAAGTTAATTCTGAGTGTTATCTTCATTTTCTTGAGGCACCTGGGTTCTGCATTTCAAAGAACCAAATTATTCCTTAACCTGCTTCGAAAAGCATCAACTACCTTGACCATTGTTGGATCTTCCATAGATCTTCATGTGTCCACAACCTCCAGTAGCAAGAACGTGGAGCATTTGATTTTTCCATGTAGCTGAAGCAGAAATATAAGGGTCGAGTACTTCATACTTCCTTCCCTGTGCAATCATCCACCTCACCTATCCAACAAGATTGCCTCTCTCGAAATCAGCTTGTCCAGTCGGTGATCTTCCTGTTATAAGCTCCAACACCACCACCCCAAAGCTGTAGACGTCTCCTTTGGTTGTAGCTGCTGGAGTCTGGCCATATTTGGGTGGTATGTAACCTAATGTTCAAAGCAAAGTCGTAACATGACTCTCAGAAGCACTAGGTAACCGAGCTAGGTCAAAATCCGATACTCATGGTTCAAAGTTCTCGTCCAATAGTATATATCTTGATTTGATGTCTCTGGGAATAATGTGGGGAACGTGTCCATGATGAAGAAAAGCAAGTCCAAGAGCTGAGCGTGTTGGAATCTACAATCTCACATTGAAGCCTTAGAATTGAAGGCTCAAGAAGTAAAGGAAAGAAATCGTGTTTGTTCAAACAAATCAACTGGAAACAGAGCAGCTGGAAGTGAGCTCGAAGAATTGAAGCTGAATTAGTTTTAGTTGGTTTGTTAGTTTTGTTAGTTAACACACGTGTCTACATTGTATTGGTTTGTATAAATTCAATTGGTTAGTTTGTTAGAAAGATTCTTTTCTTTGCTCTATTTATGTAACGACAAATGCATTGTAAATTCAATATATTGAATTTCTCTCAATATTTTTTCATGTTTTCTTGCTTTCTAAATTTCAGATTAAGGAATTTTACATGGTATCAGAGCTTTAGCATTTCTATTGCCATCCTTTCTGATCCGCATTAAACACAAGGCAAATCCTTCTGATGATTCTTCAAGCCCTTACTATATTCATTCCAGTGACAATCCTGGTGCTCTCCTGGTTTCTGAAATCTTCACTGGTGAAAATTATGTTGCTTGGAGTCGCTCAATCAGAATTGCCCTAACCGTGAAAAATAAAATTGGCTTCATTGATGGGAATTTAATACAACCTGGTCTTGATGATGCTCTCCTTCAGGTTGCTTGTCTACAGGCAAACAATCTCGTGTTATCATGGCTTATGAACTCCATTGCAAAGGAAATTCGTAGCAGCCTCTTTTATTTTACCAATGCCTCCGACATCTGGGATGAACTTCAAGTCAGATATCTTCGCAGTGATGACCCTCGTGTATTTACCTTGGAGAAGTCTTTGAGTCTATTTGCCAAGGATCGAAATCTATCACTGAGTACTTTAGTGATTTCAAGACTCTTTGGGACGAGTATATTAGCTACCATCTTCCTACATGTCGCTGTGGAATTTTAGATACTTGTGATTGTAATATTCTAAAGAATTTTCCTGATCGCACTATGTGATGAAGTTCTTGATTTGATTGCACGATTCTTACTCAGCTTTATGAAGTCAATTGCTAGTGTCTTCTCTACTACCATTTATGAGCAAGGTCGTTTCTTTGTTGTTGCAAGAAGAAATCCAGCGTTTTTTGACTAATGCAGTTGGCATTCCCTTTGACTCCCATGTCATGGCTGCTGCACAACACTCCGAGTCTTCCAATGGTTTCAAATTCACCAAATTCAAAGGAAAATCTGATGTTCTTTGTTCTCATTGTGGATATCATAGTCATTTTGTTGACACATGCTTCCAAGTCAAAGGCTATCTGCCAAGATGGAGAGGTCCTAGGGGGGAAAAGATCTCTTCAAATACAATTTGGAAGTGCTTTCAATCCACAAACACCTAAAGCTCATGTTGCTTTTTCCGTGGCACAAAATTCAGCAGTCCCAAATGTGGTTTTCACTTAAGAGCAATTTTAGAATCTGCTTACACTTGCAAATAGCCTATCTACCTCTACCATCAATCCTAATGCTGCAGTAAATACTGCTTCTACTTCAGGTGCTTCTACATGAGGTAACAGTTTGCTCATCTATGTCATGCTGCTACTTGTTTCACTAATCACTCACCTTGGATCATTGACACTCCAGCAATAGATCATATGATATGTTCTCTTCACCTTTTCACTTCAATTCATCTACCTATCAAACCTTCTCTAGTACATTTACCAATTGGTCAGTATGTCTCTATTAAGGGGCTGTCGGCTAGGCCATTTCTCAGCTTTTAATTCAAAATTGGACCGTTGGGGCTGCAACGGTCCAAAAAAAAAAAAAAGAAGAAGCAAGTTGTCAAATTTGCCAGGTCCATTTCCTTTCCTACCCTCCACTTGTCTCTGGCTTTACAGTAAACCCAACCCACCTACCACACGCTTTCCCCAACCACCACATGCTTCTTCCCTTCATCCTCTACTGCCTTCAGTAACATGATTTTCACATGTTTAGCTCCTTCAATAATTGCCCTCTTTACAGTGATGGAGAAGCCCAGAATAATTAGCAACGGTGAGGACTAGAATTTACAGCAACGATGAGGACCAGGTTCGCACTCAGCCTGCAGCCTGCTTCTTCAATAGGACTTCTTCTACGTCGCCTTCTTCTACTCTTGCAGGAATGGTGAAGTGGGTCCAGTGATAAAAGGCATTTATTTACCATTTCCGCATCTACAGCAGTTTCCCCTATTTTCTAAATCGCTCCCCCTTCTTCTTCTTCTTCTTCCTACAGTTCAACTTTGTGCGTCGAACGTGATGAATAAAGAGAAACAAGAGGACTTTTGATTGTAAAGGCTCACACACTTTCATTTACGAACAAGGTACTGATATTTTCTGCCTTAAATTAGAATGGAAATTCTGAATCAGAAATTAAATTCTAGCTTTCTTCTCACTACTTTGAATCTTTGATCGTTGACAGAAAATTTCTCAATTTGACTGATTACTTGCTTAAAAGTAAAAACCAAAAAATATTGAAAATCATTTAGATAACTGATCATTTCACAACAGGAATATATGTGAGGCTTGAGTTTAGCCTGAAATAAAGCTCTTCTAAATTCAAAAGTAGTTATTCTGTAACTGCCTAATTAAGCTCTAAGAGCTGTATGTGATTTACATTTAAGAACGTGATCTTGCAGAAACACAGTTGGGCACTTGATTTGCTCTGATTCATTGCTGAATTTTGGGAAGAGTTGCATGAATAAATTTGGATGGATCCTTCTAAACCTTTTTCGTTAAGTTTTTCTTCCCTCTCAAATTAGAGTGAAATAGCTGCTGTAATGAATTATGTCCTGCTTCAACATAATTTCGTGTTCTTCTTAAACTACCGTAGAATTACCAATGGGATCACTCGTCTACCTCGATTGGACCTTCGGTTCACAACCATAGGTTGCCACTTAAGAATGCTATTTGGAATACATATGAGACCAACATTTTTGTGGTTGCCTGCGAATCCGTTATCGTTGACGGACACAGGAGCGTTAAGTGCTTCACCAAGCACGGCTGAGAGACATTAATTAACCTGTTCAATACCACTTCCGGCCACGATTGGGACAAACAGCAGCTGAAAAATCAATGGGATGCCCTCCGCATGAAACACAGTGATTTGAAGAATTGCTCAACTGCAGTGACATCTCATATGACCCGTCACTGGCAAGATTAGCGCCTCGGATGAGTGGTGGCTCGAAAAATTAAGGTACCAACGTGCTATTAACCTCAAGTCGTTGCTCACGATTTTTTTATGGATGGAAACATTGTTTTATTAACTGCACAATGTTGTTGTGGATTGATATTATTGAAGTGATGTGTAATTTTAAATTTCATTTTTGTTGATACTGCAACAGAAGAACAAAGACTATAAGGAATTTAAGGACAAAGATTGCAGGGAGGTGTATCTGTACAAGTCGTCATTCGGGGACGTTTTCGACAACGATAAGTACGTAGTGACTCCGAGTAAGTTATGTCGCACAGGCTTCGTAATGTTCGAAGACAGTGCTAATGAAGATCACCGCGATGAGATCCCAGTGGATATAGAGAGTAATGGCTTCGCGACGAGGGCGTCGAGCCCGAACGGGCTGCAGCAACCATGGATATGTCTGGCCCGCACAATGGTGATAAACGGAAAGCAGGCAGAAATCGAAGTCAAGAGAAGAAGAAAAAGATTTCTGTGCGGGACGTGTCGTACTCAGTGGATCGTGCGACCACTGCCAGCGAGAAGGTGGCAGCCAAAATTGACCAGTTAATGGGACCGACTGTGTCCGACCTGAAAACATGATTGCAGGAGTTATTGTCCACGGGTCGACTGCAAAGGGAAACTGATTTCTACTACTGCACGTGCTCATTCCTCAAGGGTAAATGTAACAGGGAGATATTGGACATGCAAGACAATGCGAACTACAAGTTCGGATATGTGGAGTGGAGCTGGTAAGAGCATAGACGAGGGCAACCGCCGTGATGTCTACGATACCGAAGGTTGCGTGGAGAGTCCTTTTGCATTTTCGAAACGTTGGTGTTATTTT